TACTTGAAAATTAAAATTAAGTTTAAAAAAAATTAAATAAGGGAAGTTTTTATAAATAAAAATAATTACATTATTATTTTTTTTTGAATTTTCATAACTTAAAATACATTAAATTTTGTTTATTTTTATATGATTTATTATTTTTTAAATTATTTTAAATATAAAATCATACATTTTTCAAAATTTAATACACAATTTAATAACTTAAATTAAATTACATTTGAATATTTATTTTACAATTTTTTTTATTATATAAGTTGTTTCGTTTCAGTTTAATAACCTAAATTAATTTACATTTGAATATATTTCGAATAAATATTTTTTATATTTTTTTTCTGAGTATGTAAGTTGCTTAGTTTTAATCAACAAAATGGATTTTCGTATGCAGTCAATATATTAAATTATAAAATAATTTTGTTTTAAAAGACTTTTTATGTGTATATTACTTCTAATTTGATTGTTTAATTAGTTCTTTCATTAAAAAAAATAAAGTTAGTTGTAAGAGAATTTAAACACCAAACTTCTATTTCTTGCGATTAATGATATGCTGTCTCACTTCCTGTTTTTATTGGTTAAGGAACATAAAAATAAATGAAACACGATGCCAACAATGAGTTATCAGAATAGGTCATAGTGTGAGTTCAGTCGTCATTTAGCGAACTATTAACCCTTGATCTGTGTAAGGACAGGAGTGCTCCGCCTGCGTGCAACAGAATGAACCTTTCCTATTGATCAGGTGGTGGATGAGAAGTGCGGCCACACTTAGTGGTTGGAGCTGTAGGAGACACGACGTCTACAACCGGGTCTCCCGAGGGTCCTTTCATGCAATCATCGCTCAAGACTTTGTTTATGTTACTCTGCTTGTCTTACGGTAAGTACTGTCATGGAATCTCCTCTTAACAAATTTTCTTACGAACTTTCTTCTAATTGTCTTAATGTTTTAATTTTAACTATAAAAGTAAACCAAAGAAATTAAGTTCTAATTTTTTTCTAAAAATATCATACAGAAAAATTAAATTCATAGCTTAAAAATAGAAAATTGTTATAAGAATTTAAAATTTTTCAAAAAAAAAAAAAAATTCCTCACGAAAGTTTCTATTTCCATTAATTCTCCTGCAATAGTTTTTTTTAATCTTATAATTGTATAAGTTAGAATTTATAAACAATTTTTTCATAAAAAAAAGTTATTTTTGGAAATTTATCTTAATTTTAATTTATAAAACAAATATGTTTATAAGGCGTATCAAAAACTTAAAATCACGAAACGAAATATTAAACTAATATATCTTTTATAAAAGAAAATCATTTTTCAAAGGATAGACATTATTAAAGGATAAAATTATGTTTGAATTATTTTTTATTATGTTTATACTTTACTTAAAAGTTTACTTTACTTTAATTTTAAATTTATAAATATATTTTATATCAAATTTTAATATTTTTATAATGAACTAAATAATAAATTGTTAAAACAAAATTAACCTCGAGCATGTAAATTATCGCTTATTAATAATAAATCATAGTTAATACTTAACTCATTTTCTCTTTTTTTTTATGAATTTAAAATGTATTAAATAAATTTATCCTTTTGAATCCTCAATTACGATATATAAACTTAAAAAAAATACAATTTTTTAAAAATTATTCTAAGATTCATCGAAGTAGCAATTCCAGCAAAAGCATTTCGTGATTAGGTTTAGTGAATAATGTAAGAGGACAATCTGGTTCAGGGAAAATCCAATCAACAAGTCTTTCAAAAAAGAAATGTATTGACTAAACTGCTTCAGGTGTTGGAACGTGTCTTCCATTTAAAAAGAAATAACTTCACTAACAGTATCGTTGCGAATAATAATTAATTTTATAATTAAGATAATTTAACCTGTAATGCTTTCGTTTCACTTTTTTTTTTCTTTTTAAAATCTTCCCATTATTCTCTTCTTCACACAAAGTATTTGGAAGTTTCCCACGTTGTCATTTCTTATTATAAAATTAGGTTTTAAATGATTTAAATCTTTAAAATAAGCATGAATTAATTTAAAAACTTGTGCAAATATTTTCGTTATTCTTTCAGAATATGAAAAATTCATTAGCTCATTATTATATGAATTTATTATCTTCGAAAAAAACCACTTGGAATAATTACCAAACAGACAATTCAGTTCATCGGTAGATTAATTTTTTTTAACCATTTCTCTGTAATATAGAACCTGAGTAGAATGAAGTAACTCATCAAAAGTTCGTTAACATGTCAATAGTATATCGCGCGTATTCATAAAATTTTCAATAATTCAAAATACAGAATTACAATAACATGATTTTTTAAAATCAATTTGTCTTGTATTAAATCTAATGGGAATTTTCTTAAAGCCTCAGTAAATTAATCTTAGGCAATAGCAACCATTTCAGGATTAAAATAACGATTAAAATGCTTGAGAATTAAAATTTATTTAATTGTCAAGCATTTATATAGCTCTTGGAAAACGACCCGAATTATTTAATAAATTTCTTATAAAAGAGTGATCACTTGACAATATTCACGGGTTGCACAGGTTTGTAATTTCAAATCTAGATTCAAAATTTCTGTTGGAAATAAACGGAAAATTATCAAGTTTGATTGATTAAAGACGATCGTAATAACGGAAACAGTTCCGATTAGAAGGGAGGAAAACTGAATAAAATAGAAACAGGGACAGAAAAGGAGAACAACGTAGTTAATTACATCACTAAAATAAGAATACGAAGTAACGTCATTCTAAAAAGAAAATAACATTGCCAGACACCATAGAGAAGTTCCGATATAAGGAATTATCCCATCTGAAAGAGAAACAACCAATAACGAGGAATGTCATAATAGCAAGAGGGGTAAAGATACTAACCTGTCGATCTGGGATACTCATGTTCAAGTTTGAGTCAGCTCAGCAATTTTCATGGATGATCTAGATCTAACTCGGATATGTCTTGTCTTCTATTGTCATCCACACTTCCCCATTGTAGACCTGGCCGGAATTCATCCTAACTTGCATGAAAAGCCTTCTTATCATCCCAAGAATCAAAAGTGAAAATAAAAAAATAAAACACCACTAATCAGAAAAACCTAGTTACAAATATACGTCATAAAGGAAGTGATAATATTAAGTACTGATGTTGTTAAATACAAAATCACATCTACAACTGTTACAAATATAGTTAAAAATCAAAGGAAAAACAGCATATAATACAGGCAAATACTTATAAAGTTTCTTTTTATCATGGACTGTCAACATCGATTTAAACCTGTTAATTTACGATTTTTAATTAGCAATGGTTTAATCTTTATTTAAACAAACTTTATTATATGCATTAAACCTGTGAGGGGTGTCATCTTCCATTAGTACCGATACGACTGTATTTTTGTTCAGATTGTAACAGATCATCGAAGTTATAAATACATGAATGTTATCTAATTGAAACAATTGTAACTTTTAAGATTTTATTTTAAAGTGTGTGAAATATGTTTTATAAGCGTTTGGAAATCTCAAAAACTACTTGGAAAGTGAGATAAAAGCAAATTTTTAAGGATGATTCTACTTCCAAAGTGTTCTAAAAAAGTACTCAAGTTCATTCATGAGCAAAAATCTAATGTCTCAATGGAAGTTTATTGTTTCTTTGTACATAATAGGAAAAAAAATCTTGAAATTTTTTTAAATGTCTACATTTTCCGCCTACATTTCAAGTTTAATAAAACAAAAAAATACATTTAGAAAATAAATTATTCCAATTAGCAAATGTGGATAATGAAACGTCCATATATAATTTTGATATTACATTCTGAATATATAAAATATATAAAATTTAATGAGATTTTTGTTAATGTGTTATTTAAACTTTAATAGTGTACTAACTAACCAAAATTAAGCTGTGCGAGGTAATAAATACTTTAGACTTAATTTATAAGCAGATTTTATTCTTTTGGCTCTGTTTAATTTTATCAAACAATATTTTAACTAAAATTTTCATTATGCTGTATTTACTCTGAAAAAAAATATAACTTATATTTTATATCGTAGAAATTAAACTGTATATTTTATTATTTTTAATTATCTTCACTTCATTATCTTAAAGATGGATCGTGTAGCAATTAAATAAATTATTTTAATTATTCAATGCTATTTTACTAATTTAAATATCAGAATTTAAAATTATCTTAAATTTTTATCGAATTAAATTAAATATTTCTTGTAACAAACATTTATCGATCGCATTACTCTTTCCTATATTTTTTTATACGATACACGTTCAAGAGTTGTAAGTATCAATCGTTTAAGAAGAATTTTGCTATAGAAAAGTTAAACATAAATAAGAATGTTTTTCTATACCTTTCTGTATATTTCGTTTGACATTATTATATAAAAATCTTCCTTTGAAAAAATTTTCCAAAACAGATATAAATATATGTTAGACCATTTCCAGAATAAAAGTTGTGATTTTTCTACTATTTTTTAGATTGTAAAATATTTTTCATCACGCAATTCTTTCAAAAAATGATTTTTATTTAAATGTAAAGAGAGTTCAGTGTTCAATTCGGAATTTTCAGGAGATGTCATGTGCTTTATTTATTTATTTATTTATTTTTTATCGTTTATTTGATAACTCGCAAGTTTACTTTGATCAAAAATTCCAAACTATTAAAATATAAAAAATTATTTCTACTGCATTTTTATATTGACAATTAAAGTTAATAGAAGTACTTTCCTTCCATTCTTTTTGAATTGTTTATTTACTTTTATCAAGGAAAACCTATTTACATGTTGTGAATAAGATTTTTTTAAATGAAAATAACAAGAGGTAAATTGCATTTTTTTATAATAATATTTGATTTTTTAAGCATAAATATTTAAAATGACTTGTTTATTTATTAACTCTAGTAATTAAATGTATGTACGAAGTTATTTTCTATGTTATAATGCTTAGAAATCATTCTCCTTTCTGACATACAATATCTAAGTTGTGTACTATTAGATTTGTTGTGTATAAAGTAAAATATAAAATACTTATCTTATGGAAAACAAAAATATACATTTATCAAAATCAAGTTTTTTCAACAAAATATTGTTTCTTTTGACGCATGTCGTTGTCATTAATCCACATACGACCAATTTCAGAGGCTTTAAGGAATTACTTTCGCAATGTTTTCCTAGTCATTATAGAAAGTATAACTCTTCCAATATAACTGCAATTTTTCTGTAATACCAATATTAGATTCAATATTATAGGCTTTAAATCTTCATCTTCTGAAATGGTTAAATCGTTGAAGTACAACGAGTCTAAATCCCTACTTACTATTAACCCATTCTTTACTTTAAAACAAATAAAATTACAAGATCTATGCTAAAATTTTAATAACACATAGGAAAGTTTCAAATTATATTTTACTCTTAAAAGTTCTGGTTTAAGAATACTTAATTTTATATTTTAGATAATATTTTTAAGTATTTAATGACACAGATATATTCTTAGATCTTAAAGGATTTAAAATCATATAAACTTTTTCGATGAAAATAACAGCGTAACACTTATAAGCTTTAAGTTCTAAATATAAAAATACTGCGTTATCAATAAGATTTAGGGAAAGAAAAACTTCATGTAATTTTTAAAATATTTTATTTAAATTAGTATTGATAATACCATTATTTAATTAAAAATTAAAAAGTATACTTATGTATAGGCAGTATTTCAAAAGTTCTTAACTTGTAGGTTATGAACATCAGGAAAGACTCAAAGGGATATAACTTAGGAAAAGTGTGAGATGTCTCATAGATTTTTTTCCATTATTTTTTTACCGAATAAAATTTTAATATGAAAAAGGTGTACAGAGGAGGAGAGGTGTAAAGGATTCTTAACTATTTTTACCCATATACCACCCACGAAATTGATCTTTAAGTTCAATGTACTGTACCTGTACTTAGAAAGTATGAGAATCACAATGGTTAAAAAACCCTGCATTAAAGTTTCATAAAGGATATAGGATTACGTAGAGAATTATAAAAAGTCAACATTATAAATATTTTAATCTACAAAAATTTAACTTTTTATAGAGCAACTCCAGAAATTTTTATGAAAACTTATTTCCCAGATTAAATGCATTTAACAATCAATTTAATCAATTTTTGTTGACAGGTTGTCTAATTTAGATAATTAAATAATTTGCAACAAGGAAAATTTCCTACTGCTAAATA